CAATATTAAATGTTTCAGAAAACTTGCTTTTCTGATGTACCACAGTTACAATATGAGCTAATGGATAGTAAAAGTTACACATCTGATGTGTCCTCCAAAAGGGATGTTTGAGAACATCTGGGATGGATGGATGGATGGATGGATGGATGAGTAAATCCAGACAGTGACAGAAAGACCATGTGGTTCTTATCTTCATACTCACTTTTATCTGTGGTGCTCTAAACCTTTTTCGTTTTTCCTTCACCACCACCACCCCGGGGATGTTGAGGTCTGGCTCGGGGGGGTCCGCCACACAGGTGCTCCCGTCCAGCAGTGTGAAGGAGCCCCCACAGATGGATGCTTCTGTCCTCAGCCCCGACCGCTCCGACTTCCTGGCCACGACCGGCGGAGTCTGCAGCTGCTCAAAGCCAAAGAACGTGTCTCTGCGGTCGGGCACAGGAGATGACGGAGACCCGGTGAAGGAGTGGTCCCCGTAACTCAGCCGGCTGTAGGAGCGCCGCACCTTCTGGGACCACTCTAGACTGTGGAGGTCCTGCTTTTCCTGGGTGCTGCGAGGGGCCACAGCCTGGATAGGGGACATGGCAGTGGGCCGCAGAGGAGATGCAGCGGGAGCTGGATTAGGGGCCGGGGTGGATCTTTTCGTCTCTGGCTTTCCAGCTGTGGACCCATCATTCTCCTTGTTCCCTTCTGCAGAAATCTAGGGAACCAGATGACAAATAAGGGATCATCCTTGATAATCACTCTTGTGTTCAGGATTAATTGATTTTCAACAATAAACGAGATAGGAAATTCTCATTTCTATTCTAACTTATTGCACCTTACTCTCTATTGCACTTTAACACATTATTTGCACCCACTGTCTATTGCATATTTCATGTAGATGCTAAATTGCATTGTCTTGTACCTGTGCAATGACAATAAAGTTTAATCTAACCTAATTACATCAGACTTGCTCTATTCCCCAGGCCAGGGATGAGGCTCTTCTAATTTAACATAACATCTCTGTACAAGCCAACAGGAGAGCACAGATCAAGTCCTTGTCATCAGAATTTTAGTATAAGGACTTACTCGAGGGCTCCGCCTTACTGAAGGAGTGGGCGTTTCAGGGACCTGGATAAAGAAGTTCAGCAGAGGAAAGAAAATGAAAGAAAATGTCTGCAAGTCCAAAAACAAAAAACAAATGATAGATATTTTCTCGCCTCCTCACAGGGGCGCCGTAAGGGGGAGGAAAGCTAGGACGATTCCAGGGGCCCTAAAAAATTAGGAAAATAACTGGATTGGTTTGGACTGGGGGGCCTAATATGATATGCTTTCATGGGGCCCAAAATCTCTAGCAACGCCCCTGCCTCTTCAACTGGAGCTGAACACACGCAAAAGTAATTTTCTAAAACCCGGTCACAGAAAGGAGGCGGGGTGGTATCTGACAGACCTGCGTCTTCCTCGGTGCGATCTTCCTCACGGTGATGGACCGCTTAACCGGAGGTCTGGGGCTCTGTGCCTTACAGAGGAAACATTTTCACACACAGCTCTCGTAAGGCCAATCAGATTAATAGACAACGCGATGCGCACGTTTTACAAATCATTTACTGTCGCATGCAATTATTTTTAAGTATATGAACGTAAATTAAAACAAATTGCGTACTGGGAGTACAGTCACACACACAAGTCCACACACCCATCCATTTTCTACGGCCGCTTTTACACACACACACACACACACACGTATATACGTACGTGTGTGTGTTATATATAATGTAATGTATATCAGAATAATACAAATTGCTAAATGGCGACTGGTTTTTATTTTCCTCACCACTTCTTTCTTCGCGGCTCCAGAATCCCTGGGCGACCGCCTCGGTTGTGGGCTGATGAGCTCTGCAAAACGGGCACAGCGATTAAAACATATTCAGTCAAATCAACGGACGCCTGAACGACGAGCCAAAGCTGCTAAACACGCCACCATCAGTCGCTGGGTGAAAAGATCGGGCGACGTCAACTTCAGATAACTAAATGCACACCAGTTTCATAAATCAATAGAGCTCCCGGTCGCCGATCGGCGGATATCTACTCATTGAATAAGATGCAGATACATACGGACATCTTTTTCATTCCCTTTCATTCGTCCAGCTGACATAGGTCGTGCTTTTCTATTACTCATTATGGTCAATTCGCGCCAACAACTAAATTTAAAAGTTATATTATCTCCCAAAAAGACACCGTCTTCAGCGGAACGGTGAAAGCTGCTTTTTTTTATTTTAAATTGCCCGCCTGCGCGCTTGCGGAGGCGGAACTTCCGGATTTGCTAGGTGGAAATTATCATTTTATAGTTTCAGACAGTTGAAAACGTTCACCGCTTTTTTAAAATTACGTCAACAAAAGACAATCCATACTACATTCATTATTTTTAATTTTACAGTGCATTGTTAGGTGCTTTTTAAAAAAAACAGTCGGTTGTATAACATTTAAAAGTTTAGGAGAGCTGTAGGGGCCGATAAGGTCTGCGCACCTGACGTCATCAGCCTGCGACGCTGCCGGAAGAGACGTGGCATCCGAGTCAGAGGAAGTCGGCAGTCACCAGAAATAGAGATACATTTCATTTCCATATTTCTACAGCGTATGCCAGAAGAGGGACTTTGACAATTTGTGAAATACAGGTAAAGTGCTTAACATTCCTTAAACGTGAACTATACGCGCTGTGTAGTGCGAAGCTGTTTGCAGGATAGCTTGACAGCTCGTGTCACATGATTCCGAAGTAGTTAGCGCTACAGTTACTCTAGCTAAGCTAGGTTAATCAAACTTACTGATTCTGAAATCTAAAATTACAGCTAATTGTAAAATATTGTCACAATGGTAATAACCTTAATGTTTTAGCAGGCGTATTTTTGTTAGTCAGCTAGCTGGATATACCTGTAGGTCAACTTGAAGACAAAAATGTAGCTTCCTAGAAAAAAAAACTAACAAACCTGAGGGACAGCATACAGAGGTACCCTCAATTGATGTACTGCAAATAAAATACCTTTTTAAATGTAGTCAGTTTGTTCTTTATATACTATTTTTGACATGCTGCTTCTGAATGATTATTGAGATTGACAAAAGCAGGGTTTCCATACACTGTTTGTTTTGTAATTTGAACTTAATTTATTTTTTGCTTTGTTATTTCCATTAATTCACCGTTTCGTGCGCTGTTTTTTAAATTGAACTTTGTCACTGATGTTCATCCGAAGTTTTCTTTAATATATATCAGTAAATGTTTCATTTGTACTTGCTGATCCCCATTTTTATTGATTATGTTGTTTCTTTGATAGATCAGGCCATGGGTCTGTGTAAATGTCCCAAGAGGAAAGTGACTAATCTGTTCTGCTTTGAACACCGAGTCAATGTGTGTGAACACTGCCTTGTCACCAACCACAGTAAGGTCAGTGGGTTTGAGCAGTTTTTAATTTTTTAACTGTCTTATTCATTTGTCTTCCTCTGCCAGTCCCTGGAGGATGGGCTCCCCCTTTGAGTCTGGTTTCTTCCTTCTAGGGAGTTTTTCCTTGCCACTGTCACCTCTGGCTTGCTCACTGGGAGCTTTGGGCAGGGATGATGTAAAGCGCTTTGAGACAATGTAACGTTGTGAAAATGCTCTATACAAATAAAATTGAATTGACTTACCTTCAGAGGGGAGCTACTGGTTTGAATCTCAGCTGCACTTGCTGATATAATTAAAGCCGCTTTTATGTTAAAAACATGAGGTAGGTCTGCCAGAAAGCTCTCTCCCCTGACCTGGCTGATATTACAGTCTAGGGCAGGCTCAGTCCT